TTCTCTCCAGTATGTTGTTATTTTACTGTGTAGATTTGGGACCTGGCCCTCCAGTATCTTCCAGATGTATATTATTTGGTATCTCTCGTCTCATTTATAGGGAGTACAGTTGGAGAGCTTTGAGACTATCCCAATAATTTAGATGTTTTATCGCGTCTATGCGTGCCGTATATGTTCTCTGAACTCCCTCTATTTCAGCAATCTCTCCTGCTCTGAAGGGGGAAAGTGAGTACTGAGCAGGACTCAAGACGGGACAGTACAAGTGTTTTGAATAGTACAACCATTGTGATGGGTTCCCTGGATTTGAAAGTTCTAATCCATCCTATCATTTTTCTGACTGAGGCAATATTTGCTTGATTAATTATGCTTCCTAAGCGTTAGATCGTCAGACATCATTATTCCCAAATCATGCTGCTTTCTTACTATGGGCAGAATTGATTGTGTTTTGTACCTTATATTATGTTTAAGGTTCTCATTTTTACCGTACCTGAGTACGTGGAATTCATCACTGTTAAACATGTTATCATGATGGAGCTTCTCGAGCTCCTTCATATCTACATTTGAAACTGTGTATGGAGTCAGCCTCCACCACATCACTTCTTAATGCATTCCATTACTCTGACACTGAAAAAGTTATTTATAATGTCACTGCGGCTCATTTGGGTACTCAGCTTCCACCAGTGGAAGTGTACCACCCGTGTTAAATAATCCATCCTTGTCTACCCTGTCAATTCCCCTGAGAATTTTTTATGTAGTAATCATGCCTCCCCGATCTCTGTGTCTGCCACTGTGTTTGTTGTTGCCAATCTGTGTTTTTGTTTACCTTCTTTTCTCACTCTCTCTTTACCCTGGCTTGTCGCAGCCTTGTGAGAAGCAGTCCATTTCGTGCTGCATTATTTGCTCAGTGCTAGCGTTGAGCACGTAGTCTTCAGCAAACAGGAAGTCTCTTATGACAGTTTCCTTCACCTTCGTAATGGCCTGAAGGCACCTGAGGTTGAATGGCCCACTCTGCTGGCCCCCCCCCCCTCCCCTGGGGCCTTCCTGATGCTTCGCATTACCAGTCTTGTTTCTGATGGGTATTCCATTCTGGCAATCACGGAAGGCATCAGTGAGCATGGCCGAGAATACCAAGCTGAAGGGTGTTGGGGTGAGAACCCAGCCCTGCTTCACACCGCTCGTCATCGGAATGGCTTTTGACTCGTCTCCATCGTCCAGTACTTTCGCCAACGTGGAACTGCAAGATAATCATAGTGAATTTGCCGGGACAGCCAAACTTCTCCAGGCTGTTATCAGTATATAGCACTCGGGAAGAAAATAGCTCCTTCAAAGATTACCTCACATTCTATGTAGAGATTGGTTAACAGTACTTGTACCCAGACGAGTTGCTTTAGAGGGATTGACTGATGAAGATTAAGCCACCCAAAAGGTGGCACGGGCATGAATAGCCCGTAAGTGGTGACCCTTTTGAACCATTACCAGTATCAAGAGCTGATACTGGAGATCTGTGGAGGTGCGACTGCACCCTGCGTGACGGGAGATGTCTCCCGTCCCTTTAGAGGGCAAGCTTACATCACTTTGTACCCAGAAGATCTCTTCCAGGAATAAGCTATCATAAACATTCCCAATGGTAATTTTATTAGGTGGCAAACATCATACTGCACCCTGGAGTCCCATTAGTGGGCTATCATCAGCTGTATTTAATGAGCCTTGCTCTAGTTAATTTATAATTCAGATGAGCTGTTACTGGGGCTATAATATCCTTCTTCTCGTGCAAATTAAAATAAATTTTATGAAATGTCCAAATTTTATTAGTCAGATTCGCATACTTTGCGTCATTATATAATGGAATGTGAACAAATCGCGAAATTTGGACATAACACCATAAATGGAGTCCAAGAACTGTTTAAGTATTTCATTCATAATGATGTACTGCCGGGAATCTTGGCAAAGTATCCAAAATTTGCTTACTGTAGGTGCAGCCTGCACATGACTGTAAAGCTGCCGCCCAGCTGGGTGGGTGTGGAGCACATGACTGTAAAGCTGCCGCCCAGCTGGGTGGGTGTGGAGCACATGACTGTAAAGCTGCCGCCCAGTTGGGTGGATGTGGAGCAAGACTAGTAACTGTGGTATCACCTAAGTGTAGTTACAGGATGAGAGCTACGCTCGTGGTGTCCCGTCTTCCCAGCACTCTTTGTCATATAACGCTTTGAAATTACTGACGAAGATATAATCCCCAGCCTACATGTTTAAGGGTCATCGTTTTAGGTGAAACAGTAACAACAGGTTTTGAGGGATTTGCTGCTTGCGTACCCTTGCTGCCCTGTTTCTTCCACTTTGGTGTGGAATTGTTTGGTTGGTGTTTCTTGGGAGTACTTATGGTACTCTTGGGTCTCATTGATAAATCAGTGTTTGACCTGTTAGTATGATTGATTGCTAGTACCCGTATTACCTAATGACTGTGTCATTTTAGGAGATTCGGTTAAAGAATTTGATGTGGGTACTGTTTCTGTAGATTTAGTGTAGGCTGTAAGTGCCTGGTTTGCTTCTTTTATTTACGACTAAACGGAAACTTTCAATGACGTCCTGAATTGTCAGGATGGTGTTATTTTGATATGAATATAACTCGTCTAGCACCTCGCTGGACAATTTTCTTTCGATGACAATTTTAGTCATCCTCTGAATGAGTCATCCACTCATCTATTTTTTTTTTTTTTTTTGCAGGGATATTCCTGCGCGGGCCCTAAGCCTCTGGCTGGTCCACTAAGTGTTGCTTGTTCGTGTTTTACCTGGGCGGAGTATGAGTATTTATGACTCGTATGGTCGCTTCAGTAAGATTTTGCCATATGTGTTTAACAACTTCTTCTGCTCTGTTGAATCTAAATTGAAATCTTAATGGGTTTGTAACTGTGCACTGTGTTAGATAATGTTCCAGTGGTCTGTTGTGGTTGTAACTGTGCACTGTGTTAGATAATGTTCCAGTGGTCTGTTGTGGTTGTAACTGTGCACTGTGTTAGATAATGCTCCAGTGGTCTGTCGGGCATTTCTCCACAGTGCTGACATTTCCTCTCATCTTCCAGAACCTGTAAGCCTATTTCCCATGCACATGGGTATCCAAGCCTGATGCGATGTAAGTGTACTTCTGTTGCTCTACTGTTTCCTTTCATCAAACTAAGTGGTTCGTAGTTGGTTGAATTCTTGTACCAACCCGCAGATCCTGATGTTGCAACTGCTGTGTTGTGGTCACTGTACATCTTTTGCATTGCTCTGTTTCTAATTACTTTCTTACTCTGTGATAGTCTCTGTGGTATATAAATGTCTACATTTCTTCTCTTAGTTGCAAGTTTTCCAGCTTCGTCTGCAATGTCATTTCCTATTATTCCCACATGACTTGGCACCCAGTTGATAAGTACCCGGCGGCCTTGTCGTTTGAGTGTTTGAATTAATGATATGACATTTGTGATCAGATGTATGTTATCACATATGTGTTCTTGTTGCAAGGTTTCAATGGCGGTTCTCGAATCTGTATGTATGGTAACATGTTGTCGGTGTTGAGCAAGAGCATGTTCCAAAGCCTTTTGAATGGCTAGCATCTCTGTTTGTAAAGTTGAACACCCATTTGAGTCTCCAACTATTTACAGTTTCCTGCTTTAACTGCAGCTCCGGTTTCTTGTCCCTGCTGGTCTACTGATCCATCTGTGAAGTATGTGAAGCTGTCGGATGCCAAGTTTGCTTCTATATGCATCTGAACCACTTACGTAGCAGATGAGGATTTGTCTGGTTCTTTTTTCCTTCAATAACCATAATCTTAAAGTCTGCTGGCAGAGATTCCCCAAGGGGCTTGCATAACAAAGTCTGCATGTATTTCGTCGACACCCTTCTCAGTGACTGTGTTTGTTATATCGAATGTATTGATGGTGTTTATCGCACAATGGGTCCACCTGTTGCTATTGGAGGCTCTTCTGTCCAGAGTTAGTGCTCCAGTGATTATATCTTTAAGTGAACTGATTCTAGGTCTAGTCAATATCTTGGTCAGCATGCACGCAACTCATGTATGGTGAGTTTGACTCAACATAGATCTAAAGTGTCTTGTATAGTGACTGTTGTGAGCCTCTTGTTGATATTTTGTGATATAAAAAGGTTATTGATACTGTATGTATATGTATTTGTGTACAAAAATATGCATATACATGCACATGTGATGTAATATTAACACTTGTGTAACGATCTTCGCAAGATTGTCACTTGCTTAGCTAAACGAACTCTGGGGTTCAGTTCCTGAACCCATTATGTGCCTCTGTAACCGTATCCACCACTGCCCACCGGTTGGGTATGGAGTGCATAATAAAGAACTGAATAATAAAAAAATATTAATAGCCAGAGAGAGCACAATCCATTATAAAATTAAGATTTATTTATAGCTGTTAATTTTTTTTTAACACTAGAGGGTACAGGAGCAGAATTTTTCTGGCTATTGTTTTCAACCTATTAAAGCTCTTCCCTCCCACACCTCAGCTGAAGCTTCTTATCCTACTTGGCTTATCCCCAGAATACAGTGAGCTGCTTTTATTGCAACAGATGTCAGTTGTCTCACCCTGCCCAGGGCTGAGCATGGGTTGTCCTTACTGGTGAAGCAAAAGGCTGAAATCACTGACATGAACACTAAACGGTGTTGTATGCATCTTCTGCTAATTGTTGCAGCATTATCCTGTGATTGCCCGACATTTTAAGAGTGCATAAAATTACACATGATTGACCAAAAGGAAACAATGTGAAGTCACGGAACGGAACCCACCTCAAAACTACTTTGATGCATTCTTTGCTTCTACCAGAGGAACAAAGTTTATGATTTATTATCTTAAAATAAACATGGTAATAACCTACATATGAAGTTCTGGATAATTTATATTTACATTCAGCCATTTGAAATGATGATAAAATTACTTTATATATAATGAAATGAAATACAGGGGTAGTATAGGTAAATATAATGAACTACAGTAACGCATCACCACTTTTTATTTCATTTGTACATTATTAACAATCAGTGCAAGTTGCACTAATACTGTAGTTAACGTAAATATTCTCCGCAAAATACTTTGTACAGAATTTCCTGAAGGATAAAATTTAAGACAGGGTTTATATGAATTAATTATATGCTGTCCACTAAGGCTGATCACGTGTAGAAAAAGACTGCACACACGTGGATTAAAACCCTGCACAGGGGCAGCAGGCATCCTCACTTCACTAAATTGCTAAAATAGCAGAAGGGGCTACAGTTCCAAAACATAATTATTGACTCCCACCAAAAAATTGCTAGCATTTCCCATATCCTCTCGGTAACCCCCCCACTTATACCAGTGAAATCTTGGTAAACAAAAAAATCAGCACTATGACAGGGCATTGCTATTTCCTTTTTTTATTATTAATTAATTAATTTCCAATTGTTTTATTCATTCTTCTTGTTAGCCTGCCTTTATTAATAATTTGGCACTTACTATGTTAATCTAATTAATTTCAGACATTAAAATTGTTTACTTATTCACAGATTAATTAGAAAAAAATTGCAATTCTTTATCAAATTTCATCAGAAAAGGCAAAGATGCAGCAATCAGGCAAATGAAAAATTGCAGTTATTATTTTGTCAACCCTGAAACAAATAGTCTACATAAAATGTATGTACAGTACTGTATGAAGAAAGTTGCATTTCTTGCTGAATACTACAGTATTCAATACAATCCTAAAGTCTGCCTGAAACGCTATGCGTGTTCGTGAATTTGCAAGAATGTAAGAACACCAATGTTATGTACTCTCACAAACCCAATGCACCTATTTGTATATATAAATAAATAAATTAACAAGTTTATTATGAAGAAAGGCGCTTTCATGAAATTTGTTTATGCTCAATTTTAGCATCTAGTTATGTCTTTAAATTCATTTGACCAAATCTTTGTACTTTACCTAGAGAGGGTTACAGTTCTTCTTCTCCCCCGAGCCCGGCACTTTATTTCAAATGAAAACTGAAAACATACAGTATTGGTAACCTATACTGCTTTAATCCATTACAGTACTAAGAGGTGCAATAATCATTTGGCAGTTGCTGTTATCAAAATTATATTGGTGTCAAAATAGTTTTTTTTATTAATGCAGGTGAAACTAAAGACAACACACAAGTATTTAAATTGGTCACAGTTAATGTAAATCACACCATCATATTTTAGGTATCATCTGTGACCACTGATTATAAACACCTGTACCCTGTCTAAAGTTAGAACCATCCTACACAGTTTTAGACATCACCTACGCATCATCTAATAATGTCGTCAAACTTTTGGGCATCCATCCTCTTTCTGTTTGTACATATATGATGTTTTTATTGAAGGAAATATTAAGTTTACCGCATCTATACACTGGTCTTGCTTCATGCTTGCGGTCAGGTATTGGAACAAAGACAATGCCACGTTCCAAGCATCTACGCTCGACAACCTCTCGCATGCTAAGGGTTTCTCTCCGTGCACTGCTAATGATATCTGCCCAATCTTTGGAACGTTGCCTAGGGGGAGAACCTAGTGGTGGTGGTGGTGGTGGTTCACTCAGTTTGTCTAAACCAGCCAACAAAAGACTAAATTGATCGGAAGCACCCGGTTGGTAGCTGAGAGCACGGCTGCACACCTCCAGGGCCTGTTGAAACTTTTGTCGTATCTGAAGATGATTTGCAACACTCTTTGGCATAAGATCTCGCCACCCTTTGTACCATGCAATAACATCAGGATGAGGAGGGTTTGCAGAAAGCCATGTAGCCAATGCCTGGTACCAACGGGGAAAGAAACATCGCTCCAATATATCTAATGAAACCTGTGTTGGCAACAGATCATCCCAATCTAGGAACCAATGCCAGGGATCCAGATTCTGATTGTGTGGGTTAATAGCCATTTCAACTAGTGCAGACTCCAATTTTGGCTGAATGTTGGACTGAATTAGAGTGGTCATTGCTATTTCACTAAACACTCTTTTCCATGGCTGCAAAACCATCTTGGCAGAGCGATCGTTTGGGTGCCAGTGAACAAGAGCAGCTGAAAGTTTCTGACGGATTACAGGATATACAGATTGAAGATGGTCTACTAATAAAGGAAGCCAGGGATGAAGCCAAGTATGAATTGGCACAGTATCTTGAAGTGGATTCCAGTTATGAACAGCACGTGTAATACGAGGTAAAATTACATGTTGAAGTAGGTGTCCTTGGATCCATACTGGAACCAGTGGATAGTTCCATGCTTCCAGTACAGCAAGTAATGGACCACAGTCTCGTGGTTCCCAAGGACCCATAACTGTGGATCGTACAGCAGCAGTCCAGGTCTCCCATACCAGGTGGTGGTATGGATCTAAAGGTACATTAGTATCTGGTTGCTGATGCTGATTTCCACCTAAATCTACCAACTGCTGCCATGTAGCAAATATTTCTTTGTGAGCTGTTGGATGTGCAAGTGGATTCCATGTACTAAGTAACTCTTTCAAAAGAGGAGTCACATAAGTTGGTGCCAGGTAAGGGATCTCATAAGTATTGTATATTTTCAGATAATCTGATTTTAACTCAGTAAATATAGCTGTAGCTTCACTGAGACTTAGTGTCTGCTCTTTATGTCTTGTTTCTAAACTTTCCACAAGGACCAGAGATTGGTCAAGGCTGTCAAGTTCTTTTTTCTCTCTCTCTACTAAAAGCTCATATTTTTCCCTTTCATGATTAAGATGAACAATTCTGTCATTTTCGCGTTCTAAAGTGCGAGCATTGCGGACAATATCATCTTCACAATTTTCCAAGAGTATCTGTAGGTTATGTAAAAGTTCGGGTAAATCAAAATGCTCATATTTCTTCTTCTTATCTTCTTCATATTCATCAACAAAATTTTTCTGGCCAGCTATAGCATGATAACTACTCAAGACTCTTGTTTCTGGTCCTGTCATGTCAATAACCTTAGTTTTAGTTATATGGCTGTCATCTGTTGGCTTTAGTTTCTTAGTCTTACCTTCCTGAATAACTTCCTCAGCACTCTTATATATGTATTTTATTTTCTTCTTGCTTCCAGTTTTCTTCCATTGCTGAAGGAGCTCCTTGAACTTTTCTTTATCTTCTTCATCTGAATCATGCACTGGAAAGTCTTTCAATGACCTGTCAGTTCTTTCAGATCCATAAAAACCAATGGCCCCCTTTCCCTTCCGCTTGCTTGCCTCTACAGGTGTTGATATACCTTGCAAGTTCTTACCAAGACCTTTACCTTCTTCAAAGCCCATCTTCTTCAAGAGCTTACTGCCAATACCGGAAGTATACTTTTCCCAGTCGGCCATGCCACTTCCCAGCAGGCCGGTTTTACCCCCTCCAGGTGCTCCACCCCGGCGCAGTCCCGCAATATCTCTTGGTTTGGAAGACGAAGCATGTGAAGAGTAATCTGATGATTTCTTGCTTACAAATGCTGCTGGCTTTTGTATTTTTACAGTAGTTTCCTCATCACTAAAAAAAGAAAAGCATAAATATTAATACATGTTTATCAATGCCATATATAATCTACATTAAAAGTTTACGAAATACAACTATACTCTGAAATAGATGTACATATACTGGTACAAACCAATGCAATTAAATTAGCAAGTACTGTACTCATATCACAAAATCACCAAGATGTATATACAACGTAGCAACACACAAACATACTGATATAAAAAGATGGATTCCTGCGGCCTTAGATAAATTCATGCACAGGTAAAATCCTTTTGTCATTGCAAAGATCATATGCAGGTAAGATCAATGTGTCCTTGAACAGGATCATAGACAAGTAAGATATCCATATCCTTGGACAGGATAATGCAGAGGGATAAGATTGCATGTCTTTGAACAAAATCCTCTACAGCCAGGCATGTAGGCATATCTTGAGGTTATCTTGAGATGATTTCGAGGCTTTAGTGTCCCCGCGGCCCGGTCCTCGACCAGGCCTCCACCCCCAGGAAGCAGCCCGTGACAGCTGACTAACACCCAGGTACCTATTTACTGCTAGGTAACAGGGGCATTCAGGGTGAAAGAAACTTTGCCCATTTGCTTCTGCCTCGTGTGGGAATCGAACCCGCGCCACAGAATTACGAATCCTGCGCGCTATCCACCAGGCTACGAGGCCCCTGGCATACTGGCATCTATTACTCCCTAAAGTAAGATCTCTGTGTCCATAATTAAGATCCCTGGTCCATCACTGTTTTCTAAAGACTGCTTTTGTTGGATGTCATTTCTGATTTGTGGAACCCTGAGATTACCTTGAGATGGTTTCGGGGCTTAGCGACCCCGCGGCCCGGTCCTCGACCAGGCCTCCTCGTTGCTGGACGAGTCAACCAGACTGTTGGACACAGATGCTAGCAGCCCGACGTATGAGTCACACCCTGGTTGATCAGGTTCACGGTGGACTGGTGGCACTTCATGCTGTTCTCCAGAGGCAGGGGTTTTGCTCTTTCTGCCTCGGTGGGAGTTCCAGCCTCTGGGATGCTGGGGTGCATGCATGCATGCAGTGTCTTTGGTTTCCTTTTCCTGCAAGTTTCAGCATCTTTCATGAATTTTTCATGTAGGCTCAAGTCTCAGTTTCTGGTTTCTGGTACTGAATGGTTACCACTATTTGGCCCCATTTTTTGCTGGGAGTTTTTATCCTCTTCACTTTTTGGTTTGCTGACTTGTGGGCAGTTAAACTCTGGCATTTCCCAAGGAAGCTTTGAGATTTCAGGGGGAAGGGAACTATCAGGAGAAAGTGCCAAGCCATTACGACTATATAGCTCTTGGAAGGGGATCAGGATAATGATTTTGGATGGGACGGGGGGAAAGGAATGGTGCCCAACCAATTGGATGGTTGGGGGATTGAATACCAACTTGCATGAAGAGAGATTGTGCTCTACTGTTCAGCCAAAGTGGTTGGGTTGAATAAAACTCTACTAGAAGATAGAGAATTGAAACTCTATATAAAAAACTCTATAGAAACTACTAGTACTTAATAGTTGTGATTATTTGTGAAAAATAGATTTGTCAATGCTATATTTACCTGGAATCAGCACCAGCGCCAAACATGGGTCTCGGAGCAAGTTCTGACTCTGATTCCTCATCGGAGCCCTCTTTTTTGTCCTTGTCGCCCTTCTTACTCGACTGCTGGATACCCCCTGAAACAAAGTTGAGCCCCCCTCGTAGGACACGAACCCGGGGGAGTGGAATAACCATGGGTTCAGGCTCTCCTTCCTGTAAATAATAATTTCACAGATATAATTTCCTTTATATAATAAGACAATACACTTTTTTATTATTGCAAGTTTTGCTATTAAATGACTGAAGCTTGTAATTACATACTATATGCCTATATGCCCTAATGAACCTTAATTAGGCTCTTGCAAAGAACTTGCAAAGGCATGAAAAGACTGTCTTGCAATACACAAGCTTTGTTACGGAAATATGTGCAAAAGGTAAACATGAGCGCGTTGTTTACAAGCACACACACCAAAGAAAGAAGTGAAAGATCTGTGTGTATCTGTGAATAGGGTGCAAAGCTACCATGTGGGTCAATGACTGCTTCAGTGATTACCACACACACGTGAAGTACTTGTTTTATGTATTGTATGTAGTGTGTGACAGTATAAAAAAATTGTATGTATATAGACTGAGAATTCAACAAATAATATTGTGACAGTAAAATGCTTAATGGACACATTAGTGACATGTATCACAATTGCGCATATTCTATCTGCTGTGCACAAATTGCAAATGACATCCATGTCACCTGTGATGTCACAGCATCGAGTGCCCAGGCACCTGTGATGTCACAGCATGAGTGCCCAGGCACCTGTGATGTCACAGCATGAGTGCCCAGGCACCTGTGATGTCACAGCATGAGTGCCCAGGCACCTGTGATGTCACAGCATGAGTGCCCAGGCACCTGTGATGTCACAGCATGAGTGCCCAGGCACCTGTGATGTCACAGCATGAGTGCCCAGGCACCTGTGATGTCACAGCATGAGTGCCCAGGAACCTGTGATGTCACAGCATGAGTGCCCAGGCACCTGTGATGTCACAGCATGAGTGCCCAGGCACCTGTGATGTCACAGCATGAGTGCCCAGGCACCTGTGATGTCAGAGCATGAGCGCCCAGGCACCTGTGATGTCACAGCACAACTTCTCTGCTTCACTGCCGCCAAGTTTTTTTTATGTCTGCTCTTTCGATGATCAGGGAAGGGATTTTAACACTATAAGAAAAAAGCAGCACTGTACATTGGTTAAAGAAATGGCCTGACATTTAAATGAAATATCAGGCCAATGGCCTGTAAATAGCCTGACCCATGGTCATTATAACACTGAATGATGAACTGTATAATGAAATATGACAAGGCCATGTTTGTCATGATGCTGAGAAGGTGGAATCAATTGAACAATAATTGTTTTCAATTAACCACTATTAGAGAGACATTATCAAAAATACAAAAACAAATCATTTAAAGCAGCAAATCAATCAGATGCATATAATTTGAAAGATAATATCAAGAGTAAATTCAATTATGGTTTGGCAACTCTTCTGGCCTGCAGCCTGGGGAAGGTCAGTCATTAGCCTAGAGGGGGGGGGGACATCAATAAGCCTGGACCCGGATTCACAAAAGAGTTACGCAAGTACTTACGAACGTGTACATCTTTCCTCAATCTTTGACAGCTTTGGTTACATTTATTAAACAGTTTACAAGCATGAAAACTTGCCAATCAACTGTTGTTATTGTTATAAACAGCCTCCTGGTGCTTCAGAACTCACTAACTGTTTAATAATTGTAAACAAAGCTGCCAAATATTGAGAAAAGACGTATAGGTTTGTAAGTGTTTGTTTAAGTGCTTCGTGGATCTGGCCCCTGATAGACTATCAGCTGTCAAAAACTATATAAACAAATCACCTCTTCATCCCCACTTTCTTGTGCCCAGACACCATAAATCTGCTGTTCCTTGGTCTGCCTTCGACCTGGGCGCTGGGTGCTGAACTCATTTTCCAGGTCATAGTCAGAGATCTCAAACTTTTCAACTTCATTATCTGACATGTCTGAAATATGGGTAAAAAAAAACATACATTACTACTAATAACTTAATTTAAACATTTCCCGATTAACATTGCTGTATGATATGATATATGCATTGCTGTACGATATGTATATACCTCAAAGACATGCATAATTTTCAACAGTAATCAAACAATTTTCATCATATTATAGTGTGGAACAGGGATCAGAACACTTTATGGTAACCTAAAACTAAACATCTACTGTGGTATAAAAAATATAAAATAGATCTAGTTTCATCTATAGACAAGTTGACTGACCCTGTGGACTCTGCAGCATGAGAAAAACCTTGGATTACAGGTGATGAGTCACATTAACGTGGCTGAAGTATGTTGACCAGACCACACACTAGGAATTGAAGAGACGACGACGTTTCGGTCCGTCCTGGACCATTCATACATGTAAATATCGACTTGACTCACAATCGACTTGAGAATGGTCCAGGACGGACCGAAACGTTGTCGTCTCTTCAATTTCTAGTGTGTGGTCTTGTCAACCTTGGATTAGGAAGGGGGATTGAGCCAGCATCCTGGATATCCTGAGATGCGTGCCTTAACCCATACACCCATAGTTTTACAATGAAAAGTCTGCATACAAATGGAACAACTTATTAATATATTTATATTCATTTGTATACAGTATATATACTGTATATACAAGACGGCACATTAATTGGTTGTCGTACAGATTTTGATGATTAAACTCTTAGACAGTGTTATCATCATTTGTTGATTCACAGGGTAAGGCACTTACTGTATCATCATATGAAGATTTAAACAATTATTGTCTAGGTTTTACATGTATGATGCAAATATGGATATAATAGATGTGTGTGGATGCAATGGAGTTTACCTTGACCCATGAAAAAATCCTGCTGCCATTTCATGGTACAAGTGGGTTATGGTAATGAATGTTACTAAGGGAATGTGGTCATCATATGATGAATTAAACAACTGTTGTCGGGGTTTTACATGTATGATGCAAATATGGGTACAAAAGTTCTCTGTGAATGTAAATAAAAAAAATAAACAAGTGATAAAACAATCAGTGAAGCATCAGAGAATAAATCAGGAAGCGTCAGCAAAGTTGAGCACCTGCTGGTCGGGAGCAGACAGCACACTGGACTTGTGATCCTGTGGTCCCGGGTTCGATCCCAGGCGCCGGCGAGAAACAATGGGCAGAGTTTCTTTCACCCTATGCCCCTGTTACTGTACCTAGCAGTAAAATAGGTACCTGGGTGTTAGTCAGCTGTCACGGGCTGCTTCCTGGGGGTGGAGGCCTGGTCGAGCACCGGGCCGCGGGGACACTAAAGCCCCGAAATCATCTCAAGATAACCTCAAGATAACCTGGTTGATAAGTACCAGACGCAGCCTTACAGCCTCCACCCAGTGAAACAATAAATATTCACTTATGTTTGTGATTTTCTTATATTTTGCATACAAATTAATAATTCCATAATGAAAAATTATTTTTTAGGTTTTTAATTTTTTTATGCATAGGGTAATGGCCATTTCTCCATAGCCGCTGTCTAAGGGTTAAAGGATACAGTCTTGCAAGGCTACTATTGCACATGACATTTTGGGCGAGTCAAAAAATGAACACAAGACTTGCTGTGAATTTCAAGTTACAATTGGTGAAGTTCATCTTAAACAAAGGAATATAACTAGTGACTGAGGTATGTAGTGAGAAATTGGAATAATTTGAGTTTACATAATTACTACTTTAACATTAAGAGGGTAAGGTGATGATAATGGAAAATTATACTGATGGTGTTATATTTTTAGATAGCAAAGTACTAAATAAGTCAGTAGCAAAAGCTGGAATATTAAATGGGGCCATGTATCCCTCTAACTTGTGCAATATATTCCTTGTCCACATTAACCCTTAAACTGCACAAAACCTCATATAACGTGTGACATTGAACTCAGTTTTTTTAAATTTTCTGAAACTCTTTCAAATGTTTTGTGAATAATCTACTAAGCAAATGCTCCAACTTTGTCTAAATGATACCAGTGTTGCTTGAAAAACAAGAAAATAACAAATAATTATAAAATTGAATATTGAAAACTTCAGATTTTGAAATCAGCTGCAAAAATATAAAAATATCACCAACTGTTCATTTGGTGTTATTATGCTCTCAGAATAGCATATGATCTTCATTTTCATATATTTAGAATATAGGTTTTCAGTACAGTTTACTGTAAAAAAAAAATTGTCAATATGGCAATTGAAATATGAGCAAATTTAGACAACAAAAATTTATAACTCCAAACATTTAGTTTATGAAAAATCAATTCTATAGGGATTGTAGAACAGACAGCTGTGCCCACTATATGTAAAAATGGTGAGAATTGGTCAGAAACTAGATTTTTGGATACTGAAGTAAGTTGAAATTCTAGTTAAAGATATAATTACCCAAAGCCTCTTAGAATTACTTAAGTAATGAGAAATATGATATATTTACTCATTATAATGTTGGTGCTGAATGTAGAGCATGAAAAAATGTATTTTTACTCTGAAATAATATAATTTGACAATGAAATTAGCTGAAACTAAGAAGCAGGTGACACTATACGAAGTCGACAATTCAAGCGATAATGTTGTGCTATTTATCCTAGATATATTGTTGCCTGGAGTGTGTTTGCTGGCACATCAGCCTCTTGTACCATACCGAACCTAGTCTAACCTAATCTAACCTGACCTCCAGACAACAATATATCTTGGATAAGTAGCACAACAATGAGCAATCTGAGAGCAGCAGTGCACCGAGAACTTCAACAAGATCTTGTAGATCTGAGGCAAAGTGAAATTGACACCAGTAATTCCATCTATCATCATACTATCATGCAAGAGGAGCCACACATCTATGGATCATCCAATAAAATCAGCAGACTTCTAGATGTTACTACTGCTCGGCTTAGACTCGGTTACAAGTATCTCTGGGAATTCTCATTATCTGCTGATGTAGACCTGACCAAATGTAAACTGTGTCAACAAAATTATTCGCACACCCTCCGTCACTATGTGATGGAGTGCGAAAAGATACGTGAATTTAGAGACAATTCTATAACCAATGTTCCAGCGATGTGTCAATATTTCATTCAAAATGATCTGCTACCAGAAATTTTAGCCAAATATCCCCAGTTTGCTAACTGTAGGTAGTAACTAAGTGATTGTAACCTATCCACCGCTGCCCACTGGATGGGGGGCGGTGTGCAGGACAAACATATCAATTGTGACACTAGCTCTCCACATGTCAGTTGCTTAATTTAGAACCTGTACTTGAGGTCGTTCTCGAACCCATTGTTGATGTGATGACTTATATTGAATTTTGTAACTAGCTCATCAAGATTGTAACTTGCTTAGCTAAATGAATTGTGGGGTTCAGTCCCTGAGCCCATTATGTGCCTCTGTAACCCTTTCCACTACCGCCCACAAGATGGGTATGGGGTGCATAATAAATGAACTAAACTAAAAAACTAACAAACTTACTTGAACTAGTAACTGTGTATTATTGGAGGAGAGTGAGCCAGGCATCTCCACAATCCGGACCCCTGGCATAGTTCTGCCCAGACGGCAATATGAACATCCAATGGGGGGCCCAAAGGGTACCCAAAGACCTGAATGGGTACTCACCTAATGTGACCCGAGGCTGATCGTCGACGTTAAACCACAAGTATTATTATTATTATGTTGAAGCAGGAGCACTATTACCACGTTGAGCCGGGAGTCCCAACCATACTATGGTGGTTGGTGCGTCCCTTCCCACCAAGAGCAACCAATTCAGTTTTAGATGGTTAACTAAGTAAGGCTAACCTGGTGGCTAACTTGGAGTGGTTTATGTTATATGCATATAGCAAATAAGGGTGCCAATTATCTAGGGTTACTCGTCCAGGATCTTCCTTGCGAGACGTTCCTTCAAGCCCATTGTGTAAACAAACCAAACCATGTTGTAAACATGGTATTATGTACATGGGCACTATAATACCTTTATTGATAAAATAGGTTATATCAAATCAGTATGCATTATAAATAACCAAAAAAATCATGGTTCATAGTAAAAACCTGGAGGAATAAATTATATTGTAACCATAATAACTACGAAGGCGTCATAAATGTAAACACTGTGTGCCCCAGCCAAGGACTAACACTTTATTTACTTATATTTATTTATTTATATACAAGAAGGTACAATTTGGGTTTGAGTATATAACACTGATGGTTTTACATTCTTGCAAAGCCACTAACACTCTAGTGGCCTCGACGAGGACAGGAAACCGGCGGCTTGTCAAAGGTTTCCCATTTCCCATGATTTTTTTCCAGTTGGATAGATAGATAGATTAGATAGATTTTTGATTCAAGTAAAGGTACATACATTGAAGATGAGTTACAAACATACTGTTGGAATTTAACGATAGAGCTAGTACATACAATACCTAAAGCCACTAGTACGCATAGCGTTTCGGGCAAAGCTTTATTTCTAAATAAATAACGCAAAGCTTCGGGCAAAGGATTTTAAAGTTTAACAGAATTTTGGCATTTATGGCTTCGGCGGGTAGGCGAGTCCATGGGTTTATAAATGTGGGTGAATTGATTGAAGAATTACGGGCTACTCATGCCCGTGCTACCTTTTGGGTGGCTTAATCGTCATCACTCGGTTGATTGATAAATATTAAGCCATCCAAAAGGTGCCACGGGTATGAATAGCCCGTAAAGGGGGTGAAAAGGCATCTCCGGGTTTTTACGGGTTATTCATGCCCGTGCCACTTCTTGGGTGGCTTAATATTTATCAATCTCCGGTTTTCATTCCTACATTGTGGCTTGTTGAGCTTCAACCCGTTGCTCCTAGTTTATCACATCTGACCTTTTGAAGAGATTGTCTGGTTCAACATCCTCCAAGTTCAGCATTTTAAAAGTTTCAATAAGATTCGCCATGTCATGCTTGTGTAGCAACTATAATAAATAATAAATAAATAAATATGTTTATTCAGGTAAGGTACATACATACATACAAGTGATGTTACATTAATGGATTGATATATAGATAGAGCTAGTACATACAATGCCTAAAGCCACTATTACGCAATGCGTTTCGGACAAGAAACTTGCTCCATACTCTCATTAGCTTATAGGCAAATAATGAGATGATCTGTTAATTCTACGTATCCTATCTCTAAGTAACATATCTGCAGGATATGTTATCAATTGCATAAACTTTTACCTGAATAAACATTTGAATTTAAATTGTGACTAGCTCTTCACATATGTCATTATGTATTAGTGTCAACTTATTGATAACTATTGAAATAGGGAAATAAGTAGTGTACCACATCAAATTGTTTGTATGTGTGATAATGGTATGATAGACAGTATACTTAGGAGCTACAAGAATTTTGCCCCAAGAGTGTAACAATTATATGCTGTGCTTACTATATTAACCTGCAATGTTAAATGGGATTCTTGTAATGTTATTTGTCTATTTGTACTTACTGAATTTGTGCGCCCCTTGAGGGACTTGAAGTAGAGGGGGGGTAGAAATAGCCTAAGCTACTCTATCCCTTTGAGATGTATTTCTTTCTTGTCTCAATAAACATACTTGAACTTGAACTGAACTTGTCAGTTGCTTAATTTAGACACTGTATTTGTGATCGGTCTCAAGCCCATTGTTGATGTGACGACTTATACTGAATTTTGTAATTAGCTCATCAAGATTGTAACTTGCTTAGCTAAATGAATTGTGGGGTTCAGTCCCTGAGCCCATTATGTGCCTCTGTAACCCTTTCCACTGCCGCCCACAAGATGGAGTATGGGGTGCATAATAAATACACATGAAGACAGAAGAGCAGTTACTGACACACAAAGGCCAGAAAGCACGAGTATAAAGAGCTATGCCATGTTTAAAACCGAGAATTATATGTACGGGCAGCATAACACCTCCACTAGACAGTGTGACATTGTAATTGCCAGACTTAGGCTGGGATATGGATATGTATGGCAAGTGGCTGCAGGTAATGTATCCCTCCAATGGTGAACATTCCCACTGTACACTATGTGAACAAGAGCTGGGACATTACTCTCCAACACTATATCTGTGATTGCCCTGTTATAAGTGACTTCAGACCAAATGATATGATGTACTTTGAGCTGTGTAATGACTTCATACACTTAGGAATATTCGAAGATATTCTTGTGCTGTTCCCAGATTTTGCTAGTGGGAACTAATAGATCAGCCTGTTCTCTCTCCTGATTTTTAGTCAGAGTTGATTTATTTTTGTATTGAGGCAGGTATTCTCTCCCCTGATTCCATGCATGACTAACCATCCTGTGCGAATATTAGATGAACTTATAGCTAGTTTTTGATCTACACTGTGTAATCTTTCATATAAAATAGGGTAGCAGCACATTGCTGTGTATACCTGAGCCTGTTAATAATAATAATAAAAAAGAGAGATTACATATTCTTGAAGCTCTACACATGAAAATAGAACAAAACCACCATAGACACGCAAATAAGTTATTGTATATTTCTAGATTTGTATATGCATAAGCATGCATGGATGTAATTACCTAAGTGTAGTTACAGGATGAGAGCTACGCTCGTGGTGTCCCGTCTTCCCAGCACTCTTTGTCATATAACGCTTTGAAACTACTGACGGTCTTGGCCTCCACCACCTTCTCCCCTAACTTGTTCCAACCGTCTACCACTCTGTTTGCGAAAGTAAATTTTCTTATATTTATTCGGCATCTGTTTTTAGCTAGTTTAAATCTATGACCTCTTGTTCTTAAAGTTCCAGGTCTCAGGAATTCTTCCCTATCGATTTTATCAATTCCTGTTACTATTTTGTATGTAGTGATCATATCACCTCTTTTTCTTCTGTCTTCTAGTTTTGGCATATTTAATGCCTCTAACCTCTCCTCATAGCTCTTGCCCTTCAGTCCTGGGAGCCACTTAGTAGCATGTCTTTGCACCTTTTCCAGTTTGTTGATGTGCTTCTTAAGATATGGGCACCACACAACTGCTGCATATTCCAGCTTTGGCCTAACAAAAGTCGTGAACAATTTCTTTAGTATATCGCCATCCATGTATTTAAAAGCAATTCTGAAGTTAGAAAGCGTGGCATAGGCTCCTCGCACAATATTCTTTATGTGGTCCTCAGGTGATAGTTTTCTATCTAGAACCACCCCTAGATCTCTTTGTGTGTGTGTGTGTGACTGGGGGTTAGTGTAGATGTGTAGGACCTGGCTGACTCGAGCGTGCAGCGTAATTAGAAGACAAACTATATTTGTCTGTGGCGAGGCAGGTGTGTGGGGGGGGGGGGGAGGTGTGTAGGGGCTGGGAGGGTTGGGTGGGCCTAGAAGGCTGCCTCCACCATTCTCCTCTGCCTCCACCCCATCACACTCTCTTTATCATAACTCCTCTGCCTCTAACCTCTATCTTCCTCGCACCTACACCATTATTATTCATGCGTCGTAATACTCGCTTCGTCAAGAACCATTGCTCCAGTTCACTCCGGGTGAACTATTATCGCGCACTTTTAATACTTTCAAACTAATGGCACGATTTTAGACCCGTAATGGCCCTTTAAATGACCCACTCAAATTTTAATTAAAAGAGGTGATTTTTCCCTACGCCAGACTTTAGGAGGCGAGACTGAGTGACTTAATAATAATGCATTAGCGAATTTTTCTCTCATGCACGAATTTGCTCAGCTGAGTGTAATAAACATGGCGACAATGTTGTGTGGTGGGACTGGTTGGTGAGTCGCTTATAACGTCGCTATTTACCTCGCCCGCCGGGAATTGTGTGCCGGGCCTCGTGTCTCTGCCCACCCCGAGGACGCCACGTGACACAGCAAGTTGATGAGTTCACCAGAGGACACCCCAGACGCTGCCGGGGCCCACGAGGCTCCCACCAGGTAGGTCCTGTCTCCTCCACACCCGCCCTGACAGCAGGTCTCCACACCTGCACACATACGCACACACTGTCCCGTGTGGCCGGGGAGAAGTGTGCCCACACCTGTTCTCTTCATCTCTTATGGGGAGGAGGAAGGTATGGCCCACCTACCTGTCTCCTAAGGTCACTTCAGACTCATAGTGCCTCTTTATTCCTCAATTCTTCTCGCGGTCAATGTGGCCCACTTGACCTCCTCTTCACCTCAATGTGGCCCACTTGACCTCCTCTTCACCTCAGTGTGGCCCACTTGACCTCCTCTTCACCTCAGTGTGGCCCACTTGACCTCCTCTTCACCTCAGTGTGGCCCACTTGACCTCCTCTTCACCTCAGTGTGGCCCACTTGACCTCCTCTTCACCTCAGTGTGGCCCACTTGACCTCCTCTTCACCTCAGTGTGGCCCACTTGACCACCTCTTCACCTCAGTGTGGCCCATGTGGCCCTTTCACTCCGACTGGAGGTCCAGTGTGGCCCACTTGACCTCTTCATGTTCAAGTATGTTTATTGACACACAAGTATGTCTTGTGCTTTACAAGAATGTTAATTCAACTTACTTTCTATATTCTCTGTTAACCCCTAATGTAACTTCTTGTATATAAATAAATAATTAAATTGAGACAAGAAAAAATACATCTCAAAGGGATAGAGTAGCTTAGGCTATTTCTACCCTCCTTGACCTCTTCACCTCTGGGGGGCAGTGTGACCCATTTGACCCTTTCACTACCGGAGGTCCAATGTGGCCCACCTGACGACAAAACACTAACACACACGTGGGTTAGTGTTGCATTCCTTCTGGGTTTTATTTTGGTGTGGCTCCCCCCCCCTCCCCCTTTTCCCTTCGCTCCCTCCTGGGGCCACAGTGACAGATGTAGCACATCTGCTGCCAGTAACCTTCGTAAAAGTGTCCTAGGGTTTCAGAGTTTTGTATAACACAAGACATGTCACTAGCACTGGGGGTGGAGGCATGGTCGAGGACCGGGCCGCGGGGACACTAAAAAAAAAAAAAGCCCCAAAATCATTTCAAGATAACCAAGAGAAGATAGCACGACGAGTGGTGAAAGCGACGAATTTCCTTGAGGTTATGTATCCAAATACTGTAGTGCAATTCCTCATGGACTTGCATACAAAAATTACAATACTGAATAACATTTATCTAGCAAATAGAGATGGACTCGGATTGGTTACAATTAATTTGTTACAATTATTTGCCTGAAGTGTTAGTGGGTTTGTGAGAATGTTCAATATCACCCATTGTACTTTCTTGTGAATAAATTAGTATTAATATCTTTATACAATAGCATCAGCCGTGCTTTTAAAACTTTATACTAGTGCAATATTGCATGGTAAAATGACATTTAGATAACTTGAGATTTAAACTTGCGATTCCTTGGAAATTGCCAGAGTTTAGAATTGTTAAATAAATTTAGGGTTGCTAAAATGTGCAGTTTTCAGAGCAGATGCATTGCTTGAAGTTAAGTGCAGTAGTGCTATTTCCAGTTTTCAGAGGATGCATTGGGGGGGGGGGGGGGGGGGGAAATTTCCTTGGAATGGAAGTAACTTCGTACACAAGACAGTTTGCCAACAGATTTTATAACCAAACATAACCCAAATTAATCATACCCATCTCATACCCATTTTTTATTTGTGGAACCAATTGCCGCATAACGTGATGGAGATTGGGTCCCCTCGATTGTTTCAAGCGCGGGTTGGACATGTATATGAGTGGGATTGGGTGGTTATAGATAGGAGCTGCTTCGTGTGGGCCAGTGGGCCTTCTGCGGTTGCCTTTGTTCTTAGGTTCAATCTAACCCCTATCCATCCCAAACTTAGTCTAAGCTAACCAGTCTATCCTAATGATGTATCATACAGCATGTGGTTTTTAAAAATTAGAAACGAACTTAGTTGAAATGTCATCTTGAGGTTATCTTGATTTCGGGGCTGAGCGACCCCGTGGCCTGGTCCTCGACCAAGCCTCCTTTTTGTTACACATCCCCAGGAAGCAGCCCGTAGCAGCTGTCTAACTCCAAGGTACCTATTTACTGCTAGGTGAACAGAAGCATCAGGGTGAAAGAAACTGCCCATTTGTTTCCGCCTCCACCGGGGATCGAATCCAGAACCTCAGGACTACGAATCCGAAGCGCTGTCCACTCAGCTGTAGGACCCCAATGTTTGTGTTTAATAATTAATTCATTGCATCGGGGGACAGGCAGCTCAGTCGATTAAGGCTGCGTCTGGGATGCTCTCGGACGTAGGTTCGAATCCTCGGTACGACCCTTGTGGATTTGTTCAGCAACAGTGTATTTGTACACGTTAGGCTTATATCGAGTGTCCCCCCCCCCCATCCAGGGTCGAATTACTGACCCTGCCTCCAGAATGCAACCCCCACATCAATCTGACTTATTTCTGGGTACAGTACCTACTTGTGACTAGGTGAACAGTGGCATTAGGTGATAAAAATGTGCCCAACCATTTGTCCCGCCTGGGATACGAACCCGGAATTCTCAATTGTAAGTCGAGAACACACCCGACTGTACCACTGGGAACCATAATATACCCAACCACTCCCGTGGTTGGTATGATACGACCACACCCTGTTTCCTTGTTCAATGCTGTACTAATTTTTAAACAGTTGCCAGCTATATTCTCACAACAAAACTAAAATAAAATATAACATTACTGGCAATGAAAAACAACAATTGTGCACTGCTAGGTTAGGTTAGGTTAGGTTAGGTTAGGTTAGGTTAGGTTAGGTTAGGTTAGGTAAGGTAAGGTAAGGTTAGTTGAGGTTTGAGGAGGTATTTAAAAGGGTAAGTAAGCAAATACAGTGGTACCTCGAATAACGAATTTAATCCGTTCCATGTTCGTCATGTGAAACGGACATCATACATAACGAATGTCCCCATTTAACCACTGTGATGCACTGTGTTTATTCGTTATAGCAAAAGGTTCGTTCAGTGTTTGTCGGGTAGGCTGCTCCATTATGACAATCTTTCTTTGTTTCAAATGTGTTCCATTTGTTTTGTATTTGTCACTTACATCTCGATAATGGAGCAGCCTACCCGACAAATACTGAACGAACCTTTATGGCATTTGTTCATTTTTCAAATTGTTTCAACAGTTCTTTTATTTTTCGTTTTTTTTTTTATTTAAGAAACATGGAGCAGCCTACCTGTAGACCACCGAACGCACCTTTTTGAGATTTGTTCTGGTTTTCAAAATTCTTCATTGTTTTTTATTATTTACGTTTTTTTTATGTAAGAAACCTGGAGCAGCCTACCTGCCGACCACCGAACAAACCTTTTGTTATAAGACAAATGAAAAATAAATATTGAACACATTTGAAGAAAGGAAAATGTCATAATGGTTTGTTCAGTGTATGTAAGGTAGGCTGCTCCATTATTGAGACATAAATGACAAATACAAAACAAATGGAACACATTTGAAACAAAGAAAGATTGTTATAATGGAACAGCCTACCTGCCGAACACTGAAGGAACCTTTTTGACATTTGTTGTATATCAGAAATTTCATTTCTTTTTTTCTACAAAAACGTCAATGCTTTGCAACATCTCAGCAGTCACCCTTTTATATCCCAGCTTCATTAGTATCTTTAAACAAGAACAACATAATTTGTGCATCGTCGGAGGTGTCTGAGAATATGCAAGAAGCAGCGCGACCCCACCGAGTGGTGTTGACGTTACTCAAACGAGCGTTCGCCATACAGGACGATTTGACGCCGATCGGGCCGTTCGTTAGCCAAAATGTTCGCCTTTTGGGGCGATCGTTATGTGAGGTACCACTGTACCTCCTACTGGTATTAATGAAAACTCTTGCTAGAAATAAATATCATATTAACAATTGTGTAACTAGCTTAACAAGGTTGTCACTTGCTTAGTTAAACGAAATATGGGGGTTCAGTTCCTGAACCCATTATGTGCCTTTGTAACTCTTTCCACCACTGCCCACGGATGGGTATGGGATGCATAAGAAAGAAATGAATTGAAAAACTACTGGTTACATCATGTTAATTATTGTGAAATAATACATTAATATTTTGTTAAATTTGTTAATATTTTATGACCATATTATTAGTAAACATATTTAAAATACTATATATACATTTGGATTTTTTTTTCTAAATGTTTCGTTTCGTGTAAAGTTTCCAGTACAGTATTATGATAATTTTTGCCAGCTTCTATTTTCACTGTACAAAAATACAATAGCACTGTTAATCTAACCAGACCTAGTACAGTATTGTTCATTCAACCCAAGTTCTGTTTATTTATTAGTTTAATAATGCAGGAAGTCACAATGGCTGGTGTTGGTACACATTTGTGTGAATGATGCATGCTCACTAAGCCACTGACACAGCATTTTGGACAAGTCTTAACCCTTAGACCGCGCAATACATACAGTATGTGATTTGACAAAATAATTTAACAAGTTTTTAAAACACTCAAACACCTACCAATTTTTTTTGCATAATCAACTAGGCAAATGCCCCAACTTTGTCTAAATGATCACAGTGTAATTTGAGAAACAAGAGAATGAAAGTTAATTTTAAAATTGAATATTGAAAACTTCAGATTTTCAATTCAGAATAAAAAATATGAACTATCACCAATTGTTCATTTAATGTTATTATTCTCTCAGAATAGCATTTTCATTTTCATCAAATTAGAATATAGGTTTTCAGTATAATTTACTGTAAAAAAATTATCAATAAGGCATTTGAAATATGCGGCAAATTTAGACCAAAAAAAATTATAACTCCAAATGAATAAAGGTTATGAAAAATCCATTCTGAACGGAGTGTAGAACAGACAGCTGACCACACAATGTCAAAATAGTGAGAATTGGTCAAAAACTGGAATTTTAGAGGCCACTCAAAGTTGAAACTCTAGTTTCAGAGATAATTGAAGTTGAAGTTATCAACAATGAATAAAGGTAGTTTTAATTCGTTAATTTAATTGTATGTTTTAATAAACATTGTTTGGTATTCATACTCAAATATGTGAAAGTTGTAGGTCAATATGTGTTGAAATGAAGTCAAGAAAAAATAACCCCAAAAAACACAAATTAGAGGGATAATTATAATAATTATAATAATTTAGGGGATATATTTAGGGTATACTTTATATAAGTGAAAAAGCCCTAATATGGTCCCTAATCATCAAAACAACCTAAAGAGACAAAGAGAGTTTGAAATCGGAGAAAAAAATCAGCCAAAAAACATTAAAAAGTCCAAAGTTTTGCGAGTTGAGACCGATTTGTTTATTGACCAATTTCATTCTATCTTCACATAGTTAGGGAAACATATGCATTCTCCAGGATGTAGAGGTTACAACAAAATCAGATAATAAAGAAAAGGAGAAAAAGCTAAAATCTTTAAAAAAGAAATACCCCTAAAAAATTTTTTTTTTTGTACACTGATGCAAGTAACACATTAACATTGGACAATGTATTTATATGATATATAAAAAATAGAGCATATTAACAAAGTTATTCATTATTATTAGCGTTACATGTATTATGTATTACTCGGCAATGATACAAAGGCACCAACTGCATATCCACTTTGTGGACACTTCTTACTACTGTACTATTCTTCTTCTTTGAGTGTCGGACAGGTGCTTGCATCTCTCTATTACTGCATAATCCTTCAGTTCCAGTTATTAGGAGCTGTTCTTATCAACAAAAGTTCTTATTTTTAAAAAATGTCTAAAATTAATTTCGGAAAATATTTTGATAAAAGTTTCACGACACGGAAGTCAATAAGTTGGAGATTTGTTTAACATTTTTAAGTTATTTTACATAATTCAAATATTTTTCGCTACCAGGCCCCCAATATGCGTGGTCTAAAGGTTAACGTTAATGAAAAACTTGCAGTTAACGTACAAGGCAAACAGTGACTTGAGATATACAATGAATAAATGGAGTAATTTTGAAATTACCATCCACAATTCCATAGAAATAAACATTCCATTCACCTGGGTGCTAGGAGACTCAAACTGCGAACCCCACACGTATGATGCCGAAGCTCTGTTGACTGAGCTATTGATTAGTCTTAACTTTCACATCCTGATGACGGTACCGACGTCATCGATTAATAAATTTGTAAAAATTCCATTTATTGTCTGAATATTATGGGACTGGTCTTAACATGCATGCCATGATATTGCAAACAATTTGATACTAAAATGAATGACGTAGCACAAAAATTGTGAGAAAGCAGAAAAGAGTATAAACATTTGAGTGTGGTTTATGCACTCGCTGCCCATGCTCGGCCTACTTTTTTTTTTTTTTGAGATATATACAAAAGTTGTTACATTCTTGTACAGCCACTAGTACGCGTAGCGTTTCGGGCAGGTCCCTGGAATATGATTCCTGCCTCGAAGAATCGTTGTTACAACCAAGTACACATTTTACTGTTGCGTTAAACAAAGGCTACAGTTAAGGAATTGCGCCCAGTAAATCCTCCCCGGCCAGGATACGAACCCATGACAAAGCGCTCGCGGAACGCCAGGCGAGTGTCTTACCACTACACCACGGAGACTGCGAAGACTACTGTGCGGATTAATAAATTTGTAAAAATTTCCATTTATTGTCCGAATATTATTAGACTTTAAAATGCGTGCCGTGATATTGCAAAGAATTTGATACCAAAATGAATGACGTAGCACGGAAATTGAGGTGAGAAAGCTGAAAGAGTATAAACATTTGAGTGGGGTTTGTGTGCTCCTGGCCAACGTTTGTCCTACCTTGCGGCGGGTCGTCCACAGGGCATGCAAAAGTGTTGATAAGGAAAGTTCACACATGAGGTCCACGGTTCGAGTCTCCTATAGCCCAGGTGAATGGAGTAATTTGGAAGTTAACATAATTACATTATATAACATTAATTTGTATAGTAATTGGGTAAGGTGGTAATATATAAAAAAAATTATAGAAGCATTATATTTCTAGATGTAATATAGTAAAGTTGGGTTAATATCACATGGTGGGCTACAATGATGAGGAAATTAAACACATCATTTTTTTATTTGGTAAATATAAGTTGATCATTTTGTTATAAACTTCATAAGAAAGGGAGTTCCATTTACGGTACATGATTGTGTCCTTTTATTTGAATGGCATGTTTGCATAAAGTTATTCAGACTCAGAATATCAGAGATATATTCTTTTTTTCTGGAGTGATGTTCATTGCTTCTGTGACATCAATATGGGTTGTCTTGCAAGAGTTTAAAATTAGGATTAGTACTGCAGACTAAGGCTTTTCAAGTATAACTAGCACAATAGAATGGGTGGAATCGATGTTCATCATGATTTGAACAGTCTGAGTTGTCTGAAGACAGAATTTTTATAGTTTTAATAACTAATATTTGCCTTGTGATGATGGGTTGGATTTAATTTGTGGCAGTTGAGCTGGATACACAGATGCCATCTGGATTTCAGGATGCAACCACCATAAAAGTAATCATAGCTGTTTATTTTAAGTTAAAATATCCAAGTTCTTATTTGAGGTAAACTCTGAAGCTATTTTAATGAGTCATTATGATATGCTACATTATGGCATAGCCTTGCTTCTGGCTTCTCTGGTGTCGTTCACACTCAAAGGGTGTGTGTTGCGTATTCTTGTCGGCTTTATGAAATTCTAGAGGTTGACGAGTTTAGATAGTTTTTCCATATGGGTTAATAGGTAATCAGTGAAGCAATATTTTTTACTACATCAGTACAGTATACAGTCCCCATGGCGAAGTGGTAACACAGTCGTCTGGTGTTTCGCGAGCACATTGGCCTGGGTTTGTATCCTGGCCGGGGAGGATTGACTGGGCGCCAGTCCTTAACTGTAGCCTCTGTTCACTCAGCAGTGAATGGGTACATGGTTGTTAAATGATTTGGCAGGTTATATTCCAGGGAAAATTAGAATTAAGGACTTGCCTAAAATGTTGTGTGTGCTAGTGGCTGTGTAAGAATGTAAGAACTCTATACAGTATATATATTATATATAATGATGTACAGTGAGGCCTCGACTTACGATGCTAATCCGTTCCCAGAGACGGATCGTAAGTCGAAATATCATAAGTCGAAGTGATTTTTCCCATAAGAAATAAAGGGAATTGAATTAATCCATTCCCCACCCACCAAAATATTAACATACAAATACATTTTATACTGAATACAATGTTTTTTTCTAACTACAATACAGTACCTAAGTTTATTTTACCTTTATGGAGGGCTCTTGATGGTGTATGGAAGATGGTGATGAGGGGGGAGGAGGAGAGTTGTTACTGTTTGGAAGAGGAGTCCCCTTCCATTATCACATCAGGCAGTGATGTTTTCTCTGGGGTACTCTCTCTCCTATGTTTTCCCTGAATACCACTAGGACCTGGTTGTGGTTCACTGCTTGTTTGTCTCACTATAAATTTGTCAAGAGAGACTTGTTTTTCCCTTCATTTTAACATTTGTCTGTAATGATGCATCACAGTGTCATTGAATAGGTTAAGGCAACGGCCTACTGCAGCTTGATTTGGGCGAGTCGTTTCAGCAAAGGTTTGCAATTCTTCCCATGCTGCACACATTGTCTTAATTGTTGAGGAAGAGACATTCTGTACTCTTGTTTCTGCTCTATGGTCATCCTTACATGGGTTTTCATATGTTGAGCCTTACCACTGACTTTCCTGGGACTCATGGCGTGATATATAATAATTACGTTAATGTTCAAAATGCAAAAAATCACCACAAACGCGGAATTTCTTATAGGCGCGATTGTCACTAAGCAGGCAGCTGTAGTAAACTGAGTTAGGTCAGACCGGGAACCATGCACTCGGTCGACCCAAACATGTACCAACAAATATCGTTAGTCGACACCATCGTATGTCGAGTCGCATTTTTCGATGAAATTTACATCGTAACTCGAAATTATCGTAAGTCGGGGCGATCGTAAGTCGAGGTGCCACTGTATTTAGATATACAGTACTGGTATCTATATCTACAATTTGATTTTAAACCAATATTTACCACAAAAGGTATATACAGTACTATAACCTAAATAAAGTACCTTAGCATTAAGTGTTAACCTAGGATACTTTTTTACATTTTATTACAGTTATTATTGCTATTATTATTACAATACAGTACTGTACAGTATTATTATTGTTTCAGGGGCGAAAGTTTTAGGAATGAAGAAGAACAAAGTGGTGGAGATCACCAGGAAGAGGGTTCGTGGGCGTCGCAGCACCAGGACGGAGACATGAAACGTGCCGCTGCCCAACTCATAGAAAAATATTACTTCCAACTGACAGATGGCTGTGGCAACCCCCACTGCGACAACCCAAACTGTGCCTCTTCAGGCAAGGTGTGTTGATTTGTGTTTTGTATATCGTTTTTGTTTTGTTTTTTTACATGGAGTGGGATGAAAGGTGTGTTGAAAAGAGGTGTGTGCCCCCCCCCCCCTCAAGCAGGTGGTGTCTCAACATCATGATGTCTGTGCTGAGTAAGTCAAATGTACCGCCTCATAGTAGTCTCATTTTTTATGGGCATCTTGCCATTTTTCTCTTTTAGAGTGCATTCAAATATACTTATTGTTTTGAGAATTCATTCTAAAAAGACTCATAAAATTAATTTATAATAAATTGCAAATCTGAAAACCCTAAAAATTTATCAACAATTTCTTTTTACCTTTCTTTACTCAGTTGTACTCGCCTAGTTGTGCTTGCATTCGTTGAGCTTTGGCTCTTTGGTCCCAATTCTTTGGTAATTGTCTAATTGTAGTTACAGGATGAGTTATGCTTGTGGTTTCCTGTCTTTCCAGTACTCTTTGTCATATGATGCTTTAAAACTGACTGTTTTGACATCCACTGCCTTTTCACTTGACTTGTTCCAACCTTCTTCCGCTGTTTGCAATGAGAGTTTCTCATTTTTTTCTGAGGGGAGCCCCGTCAGCTCCCTGGAGCTATCGGACTGATAGTTATATGAGGACTATATTAGTCTGGGGCTTCAGTCACATGTAGTTCTTATGCGTACCGGGAACCACGAGCCAGAACCTGGTTTTCTCGGAGAGGCGCAGGGAGCAGTGGCCTATGAAAACTCCACTCTTTGAGAGTATATTCATGTCTGCCATCGACCGGGGTTAGGCACCCCAAAACAGACCCCAGTTTTGGGAGGGAGGGGGGGGGGGGGTAAAGAGGATGGAGAGGCATTGGTGAAGGGAAATTTAGAAGTGGGAAATACAGTGAGAGTTATGAAAGCAGGCGGGCTGTCTGCTTTGCTGACCCCAACTGGTAGAAAATTGCGACCCAAGACTGAACAGAGCCCAAGAACTCCCCCAAGAAAAAACAAGGTAACAAGCAAATCATCATCAGGGGGATGGCCTCCCCCCTCCCCATCTGGAAGTGGGGAAGGGGAGGCACCGCTCACCCGAGCCGACCGCCTGCTCACTAGTTCGTCGACTGAAGCCGGCTGGGGCTGACGTCTCTTCTTTCTGCCATTAGGGTTATACCCTCAGTGGTTGTACCTGCTGTGTGTGTGTTGGGGCGTTGGCCAGTAGTAAGCGGTATTTCAGGCTGTATGCGCTTAAGGTTATCTTCCGTAGGCAAGTACGTCCATTGGGTCTTGGGGTTATCTTCCCTGGGGCTTTCGCTTTTTCACTCTCATAGGGGTTGCTGTCGTTTGGCATCGGCCTCATCCTTGGGGTTAGCAGGGGGTCTTGGTATTTTCTTTTGGCCCCGAGTAGGGAATGTTTGTTGCTGGTTGGGGCGCACAGTGCTGCGCAGCTTGCCTATTTGCAGCGGCCATGTCTCTCTAGCCTTCTGTTGTTGTGGTGCAATTTTGGGGTTTCTTTTCATTTCTTTCAGTTCTTTCTGCCTGGTGGAAAACTGCCTGGTTTCCCATTAGGTACGCCTAGGTTCCATTTGGTAGTCCTCCACTCAGCCCTCGAGGTTGCTCCCTTCACAGGGGTCAGTTTGCCCAGTAAATAGATGGGGTTCAACCAGTTTTGCAGCACCAGTGCCTGGGCTTCCCATAAGGACACATTCCCCTGCACGCCCTGGAAACCCCCGTCGGGGCTTGTGTGACTATGGATGTGTCTTCAGAGTCCCATCTCGCCTTGTGCGAGTTTGAGGGTTGTTCGTTGCTCTTGTATCAGAGTGACGATTATCTGTTTTGCTTCCATCATGCTGCTTGTTGGGTCGATGACACCTTCGACCCAGATTCGTGCAAGACTTGTTCCTTGCTCGTTATCCAATTTACCCATTCATCTTCGGGAGATATTAGGGTTTAAGCATCTGTCGCGTTGCATGCTAGGTTCTTGTTGGTGCAATGTGCTAGGTTGGTTGCTCTCTTGAATGCCCCATTTTGGTTATAGGGAACCCGGACTTGGGGGCATTGGTCGCCTTGGCCTTGGTTCAGTGTCCGCCTTCAAGTCCTTCCTTGGTTGGCATGGTTCGCCCTGCTCCTTTTTCCCTGCAGCCGGCTCCCAAATGTCTGAAGGTTTCGGGGTTGGGGTGGGGTTTAGTTGGAGATGCGACTTGGGCGGCCCACTGAGGCTTCTGGGTCTTACCAGCAGGCCCCCACTTCTTTGATGACTTTCCCTTGGATTCTACCTTTTCTTCGAGGGTGGAGGGCGTGGAGAATGTCTCTGACCCAGAGCCTGGATTTGAAGCTTCCGGGGCTGTGGAGGAGTCGACCTGGGGCATTTGGGCCCAGTTCGATCTTGCCTGGGTTTTGGTACTCTCAGGGTGGGGTTTGCTGTTACAGGGTTTGGGGTTTTTGTATCCTAATCCCTGTCGAGTTTGATATTGGTTCGGCTCCATATCAAAGCTTTTGATATGGAGTCTACTTGATACCTGTTTGATGGGGTTCTGGGAGTTATTATTTCCAGATTATTAACATTAACAATATTATGTATAATAATATACTATTATTAACATTATATAGTGTTATTATTATCTTAGAATAGCATATAATCTTCATTTTCATCAAATTAGAATATAGGTTTTCTGTACAGTTTACTGTATAAAAAATCTTAAATAGGGCATTTGAAATATGTGGCAAAGTTAGACCAAAAAAATTATAACTCCAAACGTATAAAGTTTATGAAAAATTCATTCTGAAGGGATTGTAAAACAGACAGCTGAGCACAATATGTCAAAATAGTGAGAGTCGGTCAAAAACTGGAATTTTAGAAGCCACTCAAAGTTGAAATTCTAGTTTGAGATAATTGAAGTTTAGTTTCGGAGATAATTGAGGTTGAAGTTATCAACAATGAATAAACGTAGTTTTAATTCATTTATTTAATTGTATGTTTTAATAAACATTGTTTGGCATTTGTACTTGGATACATCAAAGTTGTAGGTCAATGTGTGTAATTACCTAAGTGTAGTTACAGGATGAGAGCTACGCTCGTGGTGTCCCGTCTTTCCAGCACTTTTTGTCATATAATGCTTTTAAATTACTGACAGTTTTGGCCTCCACCACTTTCTCACTTGTTCCAATCGTCTACCACTCTGTTTACAAAAGTTTACAAAAGTGAATTTTCGTATATTTCTCCGGCAGCTTTGTTTCGTTAGTTTAAATCTATGACCTCTTGTTCTTGAAGTTCTGGGTCTCAGAAATTCTTCCCTATCAATTTTATCAATTCCCGTTACTATTTTGAACGTAGTGATCATATCACCTCTGAAATGAAGTCGAGAAAACATAACCCCCAAAAAACACAAAATATGGGGATAATTATAATGATTTACAGGATATATTTTGGATTTATTTTATATAAGTAAAAAAGCCATAATATGGTCCCTAATCATCAAAAAACCTAAAAAGACAAAGATAATAGAGTTTGAAATCAGAGAAAAAATCAGCCCTCCCCAAAATTAAAAGTCTCAAGTTTTGCAAGTTGTGACTTATTTATTTTGTTGACCAATTTCATTGTATCTTCACACAGTTAGTGAGACACATGCATTCTCCAGGATGTAGAGGTTACAACAAAATCACATAATAAACAAATGAGAAAAAACTGAAATCTTAAAAAAAAATCCCCTAAAATTTTTTTTTTGGGGGACAATGATGAAAGTAACATATATTAACATTGGCCAATGTATTTATATGATATATAACAAAATAGAGCATATTAACAAAGTTATTCATTATTATTTGTGTTATGTATTACTCAGCAATGATATAAAGGCACCAACTGCATATCCACTTTGTGGACACTTCTTACTACTATTCTTCTTCTTTTGAGTGTCGGACAGGTGCTTGCATCTCTTTATTACTGCATTATCCTTCAGTTCCAGTTATTAGGAGCTGTTCTCCTTATCAACAAAATGTTCTTATTTATTTAAAAATCGTCTTAAAATCAATTTCTGAAAATATTTTGATAAAAGTTTCACGACACTGAAGCCAATAATTTGGAGATTTGTTTAACATTTTTAAGTTATTTTTACATAATTAGAATATTTATCGCTATCAGGCTCCCAATATGAGCGGTCTAAGAGTTAAGGGAACTCGGCTCACAACCTTAGATGAGAAAAGAAGCAAAAGGGATATGATCAGTACAATGTAGACAAGAGATGTATATTTAAATTGAAATAAGATAGAATCACCAGTGGATATTATCTTCAAATCTGTCTTGAGATGATTTCAGGGTTTAGCGTCCCCGCGGCCCGGTCCTCGACCAGGCCTCCTTTTTGTTACACACCTGCCCAGGAAGCAGCCCGTGGCAGCTGTCTAACTCCCAGGTACCTATTTACTGCTAGGTAACAGAGGCATCTGGGTGAAGGAAACTGCCCATTTGTTTCTGCCTCCACAGGGGATCGAACTCGGAAACTTAGGACTACGAATCCTGAGCGCTGTTCACTCGGCTGTCAGGCCCCTTTTCAAGGTCATTTCCAGGTCAAGGAAATTATTCTGGATACATAATTTAGAGATATAAGGAAATACTTGTTCCCTGTGCAAGTGGTTGGCAAGTGGAATGTATTGAAAGCAATACTTGTTGAAGCGACTTCCATCCACATTTTTATTACTAATATAGCGGAAACTTAAACGTCAAGAGACAGAACTAATGTGCCACATATTCATGCCTAGGAGCAAGGCATAAAAGTCAAGATCTCGGCTCCCCATAGTCATTTATAAGTAAAATTGCTATTGTGAAAATTATCGCCTTGTCTGTAAGCTTAAAAAAAAATATCTATAGAATGATACATTTGGTTGCAAAATGAAAAAGGTCAAATATTAACACTTACAGCTCACAAAATCAGAAGACTACAGTAACGAGAAGCTGATAAGCCCCTTTTAGTTATCTTTTAGATTTGATAAAGCATTTACAAGTAAAAATATTATCTACATTAAGTGTTCTGTCAT